CACTCACCAGGTATTAGAGAAACAGCTTTTAACACCAATAAAGGATTCGGACCGGGTGTATTTAAGACTGAACACAGACTACGGAGTAGCTCTTTTATGGCACAAGTTTGGACTTTTATCTTTTTCAAAGTAGCTATTCCAGTGGGAAAAGGTTAAAATAATATTTCCTCCAGCTTATTCTTTGGTAAGCATTGCTTGGTGATCGAGACCCATGCTAAAACATGACGATAATTTGGGGGAACAGCGGCACCCCTACATGATTCATGTATTTAAGTTGGAGTGGGTCAGCATCTCCAAAACCCGGGGTGACCCAGACAGCTGCTGCTTGCTGCCAAAATCATCTCCTACCAGGGTTAGGGGGGAGGGAACTGCCAAACCCCAATACCTCAGGCTTGTTTGCTCAAGGGGTTTTTTTGGGGGGCTTGTGTGGAATCCTGTACCTCATCCAGGTATCTCAGGGTCTCCTGCCCTACCTTTCTACGCTCTGAGGTGTCCAGGATTAGCCCCGCACGCTGGTGCGCTGCACCAAGCTAATCATCCGCATGGAGAGAAAGGATATTGTCAGAGTGCAAAATGATCTGTTTTCAGGCAGGAAGCAGTCAACTAGATGTAAATTCCATGAAACAAAAGAAGGTATTATTTACAGTTTTATTGTGATGTTAATTAATATTTACATCTTGGAATGAAAAATAGAAATGTTAATGATTGGCTTTACTAAGAGGATCACTTGATGCCAATGTGAAAGCCAGGGAGAGAAGGCAATTATGCAAACATCACATGCATCCTAATTTCAGTATGGAAACTTACATTTCAAACCTCAATTCAGGAAAATAACATGGAAAGTTTGTACTACAAAATCTAAACATGAGAAAGATTTAAGAGAAAAAAAAAAAAAAGCACATTGCATATGTCAGATAATCTGGTCTGATTATCTGAGCTGTGCTAGCTACAGGGAAGCACTTACCCTTGAGTCCAGCTAGAAGTTAGCAGGGTAAGAAGGAACAAACCAGAATAACATAAAGACTAGCAACAAGGCTCAGGAAAGCAGACAGGTGCCCTAACCTTGCAGCTAAATATTTGGGTTCAAGCAAAGAATGGAAAAGAAACTTAAAGGAAATGAAACCAACCGAAAAACAAAACAAACCACTTACAGCTGAAAATGTCTTAAGCAGCTCAATTAACCTCGCTACTTACTATGGGGGAACAAATCATTACAGATTCTCAAAACAACCAACTCTTTGTATATGGTGTGATTAACAGCCATTAAATATAAACAGACAGTAAAAGAATGAAATATAACCACAACGTAAAACAAGTACAGACCAATCTTTCGTGTTAAAAAGAAAAGGGTTTCCAAAAAAAAAAAAAAAGAAAAAGAACATTGAGCATGTTTGGGAATTTTGTTTGATGCATCACTAACACAGAACAAACGAAGATTGGTGCTTTCAGACAAGTGACCACTTTTATGAAGCTTAAATATTGCCAAAAGGTGTAAGATGTATGGGCAGCATTATTGACTACAATACTGTGCACGAGTTGAACGGTAAACAAGGAGGGTTTGGGTTTTTTCTTTCGCAATGCGAAGGTTGGAGGAAAGCACAGCTCTGCGTGAATGGAGCTTCGCTTGGAAATTGTAGCAAAACAAAAAAAGCAAAAAACTCTTCGCTCTAACAGGTATTGTTCACCCACATAAAAGGAATTGTAGAGTCATACGACAATGAATAGCAGGATCTATTTTTCCCCCCCTCCCAGCACTTAAATTGCAAATAAAATAAACTCCACCCTGCTTTGGAGCTGTCTGTTCACTTCCAGGTCAAGCGCTGCTACCCAGCTGCGGGTGGGAATTTGAGTGCTGCTCCAAGTTTGTATTTACTAAGTCAGAAGAGGTGGGAACCAAACAAATCCACCGTTCCTCCCACGCTTCCCCAACAGCAAACTACGTTCCCGTGACGTTCCTGTTTAACAGACAGCTCCATCTCAGGAGCGGAGGGCTGGATTTTCTCTGCGCGTGCATGCATGCGCGTGGGCCGGCTCCGACTACAACATGAAAGCTACACCAACAGTTACTTGTCAAATGGCTTAACATTTACTTCTTTGCACATCCTCATTCACCATAGCCTCTAATAAGCACAAGAAATACGACAGGTAGAAAGATAAATGTACGAGGATAAAATGTCTCAGCAAAAGTCCTTACCTTTCTGCAGGCAAAAAAAACCCCCAAAGCCCCAAAAAACCCAAACCAAAAAACCCAAGCCAAAAACACCCAGTAACAAACCAAGACCCTTTTAAAAATGCAATACTTGATATGTTTGAATTTGAAGACTGAAGGATCCAAGATAACGTATTTGTGCGTTTAAGGGTCCCGGCAAGGCATCGTGTGGGGTACGCATGACTCCCTTCTGCTTCCGGTTGTCGAACTGCTGCGCCCGGCGACTCTTGCAACGAGCGTCGCCACAGGCGAGCGTGGAAACAGGAAAAATGAGCAGCCCTTGCTGTTGAGATAAGGTGTGCTAGAGCATACCTCCTCCTCTTGTGGGATGAGGGTCCGGTGCACAAAGAGCTGTCAGAGGGATCTAGACCCAAGGGAGGAGGAGGAAGACCGAGGACAGAGCACACTGGCCCAGAGGATGCTGAAGTAGCACCATCAGACTGATGAGCTGACTGGTTTTCCCCTTCCAGGCTTTGCCACAACACAGCCAAGAGGGTTGCCCAGCATTTGCAGCAAAACGGAGAGCCTGAAGCTGCCCAGCTTATGGGGAACACACACTGCAGATGGAAAGAGGGTGGTGGCACACAAAAAGCTGAATGATCTGGATTTGGAGCTGGTATCAGCATGAGAACAAGTGAGAGAAACCCAGTTGAGATCCTGACCCCCGCAGATGCTCTGAAGGGACCAGGGGGTGAAATCTCAGATGTTTTCACCAGAAGCAAGGATGAGGGATCCCTGTCTCCTGGAAGGAGAGGGAGATGGAAAGAAAAAGGTCAAACCCATGGCACTGCTATCACTTTGAGCACGGTCAGGCTGATACAGGCTGCAGGACCATGAGCAGCCGGACGTGCCGGGCTGTGGTTAGATGCAGAGGACTCCTGGGACCTGTCACTGACTTCACTGCTCCCTGCCAGGGACTAGGACAAACCAGCTGCCTCTTCTCCATCCCAGTAACCTAAGCAGGGGAGTTCAGCTCTCCCCATGCTCACAGTGCTAGGCTGTGCATGGGAACAACATACCCGAAGGTCCATGGCCCCTAGCATCTCCTTTCCACTCCCAAACTCTTGGCAGATTTTGCTATGGCTGCTGCCAGGCAATTACGATGCCTCTGGGAAAGGGACCCTTCACTTGATCCCACATACTGGTCTGGCAAAGTGAAAACCTGGAAGGCTTCCTCAGTTTGCTGTTCTCTCCCTACCCTCATCCCAATCCACACGGATCATGCCGGGATGAGCAAAAGCGCATCCTCATTGTAACCACCATGCTGGGTATCCTTCAGCGTCGCGTGTTAGGGGAGGGAGCCACAAGCAGCTTCCCTCTGCTGCTCTCCCTGCTCCGCTCTGAAGTCTGTTGGCATGTAAAAAAGCAGCAGCAGGACCTGTGCCTGCTGTTTCCATGAACTCTTTGGCTAAGAGTTCTGGGCAGAGGGACATACAATCCCCAGGAGTGCTCCCAGGTCAGCACAACCCAGCCAGCTCTAGGGGCTGATCACAGCCAGTAAATACCCCACTTAAAAGAGGCCAATTCCTATCTCCCATTTTGGCTTTCCAAGAGGTATCCCTCCTTCCCAATCCTTTACATCTTGTACCCCCAAAAGGCAGTGACCTGACTGGGACAAAGAGGATGAGGGTCACCAAAATGAAGCTACTGACCACAGGTTTAACCACGCTGCTTCATGCTACGTCTCACTCACAGCAGCAGCGATGCAAGGCAGAAGGGAATCCAACATATGCAGGCAGTGGGAGGATAAAACCCCCAAAAGCAGCAAGCAGAGGTTTTCTGCTGTGACACTGATCAGACAGCTGTACGTCTCGCAGTGTTATTTTCTATAAATACTGACAGGAAGGAGTTAAACCAGTATAAAAGACAGTCAAATGATATTGATAAGCAAGGGGCAGATTTTCTGAGTTCCTTATAACAAAACGCTCCAAGTTGTAACAGCTTTAGAGAGACTATTTTAAATGTTAAAATCTGATTTAATTAGAATATTTTGCTAATATTTACCACTTTTTTCTTATTTTGCTTATATTTAACGACACTAGATCTTAAATTTTGCCGAAACTACTAAGAACTGCTGTATGTTACATGACAAAGAGGCTCGAGACGTGCGATCAAGACCTTAAAGAAAAATGAGCGAGGAGGCATTCATCTGGTTTATAATCAAATTACATTTGCAAGACAAAAGAAATTGCTCTAAATTTCAAATTAAGCAAACTGGGTATAACTGCATAGGACACGCAGCACTGCTGCGACTTAAGAGATGATTGCTTTAAATTCACATCTAACTGGCCTGCAAAGCAACCTGTTAAAAATACCATATGTTTTCCTACAGTTGAATATTCAACAGGAGACCTCTTTTTGTGTGTGCATTTCATACTTGCAAGATTTGCACCTGTAGTTCTGAGCACGTGAGGCGTTTGACAGACAGCTAATGGCGCTAATGAATCGCTCTGATCTGGGTGTGCAGTTTATTGTGGCGGGGTGCAACGCCTGTCTGCAGAAAGCAAGCTGGGTCTCGGGCTCTCAGACCCCAGTCTCTCCTCCATCAAGTATTGCACTTTAAAATACTCATTGACAAGTTCCCCAAGGAATTTTTTTTTCTTGGGTTTGGTTGTGATAAACACACGGGTTAACTGCTTCTGGATCCACTGATGTAAAAAGCAGCTTAATGATAATGAAAAAAAAGTTTCATTCTGGAGTCAGAAAACACGTGTGCGAACATTGATTTACATCAGTGCAGAAAATCTTTCCATCAAAGACTTCTGCTGTCGAGGAGAACTTAGCTACTTACAAAATTGAGAGATTGGGGCGTCTAGCTGGGGTACATTTCCTCCTTTAGCATTTAGCTTTTGCACTTGGGTGGGCGGCACAGGTTTGTGAGACTGGCCGGTGGCTCGGTACATGGCTTGGACCCACAGGATACGGTCCTGCTCATCGTCACTTGCAAAAATCACCGTGTCTCCTTCCTTCACAGCGTTGAAGAATGCTCTGCCGCCCTCCAAACCTGGCAGGAGAGGAAGCGACAACAGAGTTTTGCAGACTGTAAAGCCAGCTGGGGCATCTCTCCCGATTTCCTACCCCACCGCCGCCCTGGGTGCCCCCCCAGCCCGCCTTGTGCCATCCCCGGCTCCTTGCCGAGCCAAGCCCCCTCCCCTGCACCAAACTCACTCGTGGGAGAGCCCAGTGGGTGCCCAGATAGCACGCTGCACCACGATGACTAAAACACACCCCAACACACTCGGATTAATTGCTTCTCCCCCCTGCAGCCCAGTCTGTGCCCGCCCACGTGGGTGGCACACTGGACCCCCATTACAAAGCAGTTCTGAGGAGATGTGTGTGGGGGGTCCCCATGAGAGCGAGGGCACCAGCGCTCACACTACACAAAAGGTGCTGGGTGACGTGCTTATTTCTGTCTTTGCTCTGATTCAGCACCCATCTTCCCCTCTCCCTGACATAGGAATTAACCTGGAATGAAGGTCTTGGCAACCAACCTACTGTGTCTTTCCTCATCTCCTCTGGGAATACCATTATCCAGGGCACACGAGGATCGAAATAAAAGAAATGCAGTGCTCCTCCACATAAAGAAGGGTCTCAGCACCACGTACACAACAGGCACCTCCAGGTACCAGGGGTGTTCTAATTCTGCCCCTTCTTACATCTATCAGAGAGAAAATAGGTCGGGCAAAAATGCTGGCTTGGTCCCATAAATATTTTCTACAATAAAAGCAGGCATAGCTGCTATTTTATGGAATTTCACTGGGATTTAAGCATCAAATTCACTGCGGCTTCCCAGAGAAGATGAGTCTTTCCCTCTTCCGGTGCTCCCTCCCAGCTCAATCCCTTAGATCTATTTATAGCAAAGTCATGCATAGCTAATGATCAGTATAAACACAAAGATATTTATAATAATGCTGATCGCAGTTCAGCTGCAAGTGGGGGGGGGGAGAGCGAGGAGTCCCCTTTGGGAGCACGTGGCAAGCACGAGCACAGCAGCCAGCCGCCGGCCCCCCGTACCTGGCTGCGGGTCGGTGTAGTCCACAGTGTATCCGTCAAGCTGCAGCAGCTCCTGAGGTTCAGCTTTTTTCTCCCGGTAGCTGCACATAGCAAACGTATATTGACTAACCTGAAGAAAATCACAAAGCTAAGATGGCACCGGCTGGTCACAAGGCAATCCGAAGCGCCTACAAACGCCGTACGCTGACGGTGTGTTTACAGGGACGGGGTGTGTGTGTAATTTTGATGGCCATTGCCCATACGAGACAGATTAAACTTTGTACCAGGCTTTTGCAAAGCTCTCTACCAACACGCCCTGCTGCGGCAGGCGTCGAATTCTCCGCATCAGTACATACAGCGGTTTAATTTCCTCCAGAAGAGGAAGCTCGGCGCTTTAAAACCCTCTATCATTCATCCCCAGACAAGTGCAAGAGTGACACCCTGTCACAAACAATGTGAGCTAAATTGCTAGGTGCCAGTCATATTAAAGCAATCTTAAGATCCCACTGATCTCGGCAGTTGTTGTCATCAGTGCTGTAAATGGCAGCTCTCACTCCTCTGAGGTACCATCTGCATGACACGACACATTCAATGTCAAGCTCTTGACGGAAGCCGACTCAGCTGCGGGGGCTCTGCCAGGCTCCCAAATCGCCTTTAGGAGCCCATCAGGCCGCATCAAGACCCCGTGCGTACTCGGCGTGCTGCGGTCTGGATGGGCGGCGAGCAGCTCGTCCGGGGAGGAGAGAGGATTCTCCGTGCCCCTGGCTAGGAACTCACAGGGAAATTTACTGTCAAATGATTTCAAATGACTTTGTTAAGGTTGTGTCACATCCTGGGCGCCTGACGTAATTTTATTCATCTGGACGTTTTCTTGACCTCTGGAGGAAACTTTAAAACTCTGGTGGGTGGAGATGGATCACGCTCGTCATTTTTTGGAAGTCAGGAGAGATCCTGAAAGAGGGGCAAGCGGCTGGGCTGGGGGATTTTTACTCCAAACTCCAATTGCTCAGCTACAAACACACAGGGAGCGCCTGTTCTGTTTTGGTGGCACGCACAGCTAATAAAATGTCATTCCTTTAAGTCATGGGACCTGTCTATTGGCGTAGCGTCTCCCAGCCGGCGCTCGGTATATTGCTGCCCTCTACGGGGTTCTGCTAGCTGCCAGCCTGCTCCCAGCAGCCCTGCCTGCACCGTGCCTTCCTCCAGGAACAGCTCCAAAAGCTACCTAAGAATAAACCCTATCATTAACACATTTGTGGGAGTAAGACTAAAAGCGATGCTTTAAGCATCTTGCATCCTCCTTAAAACAACCAGCACTGACGAAAGATTGACAAGTAACAGACCAATAGCAGGAGCACACCAGTGCATCTTCTCTGCTCTGAACTTTGAATGCATACCATCATACCGGCAACACAAGAATTAAAAAGATTAACACGAAGGAATCTAAAAATAACCTGGTGCCCCAACAGCACAAAATTCAGAGGAATCCTGCAGTGTTCTCAGTTATACTTGAAGGATATTGCTGCCATCTCCTGGAGAAACTCCTGAATGTGCTGTATTTATCCTGGAGATTTCACCGGAGCAGTGAGGATTAGATTTCTCTGTGTTAGACAGCCTGAACTTCAGGGACCGCACGACAAATTTAATTCCTGAAATGAGTCAGTGCTAACCTACGCTGACTGAAAGCATTAACACAACGAATGGGTTTCTTCTTCTCCCCTACGCTCTGCCGCAACAGGTAAAATTCCATTCAGCAGTTCTGTTCCTTCTTCCCTGACCCTGAATACGAGGTTTAAGTTTCAGGCTCTTCTTCATCTACAATTCCTCTCATCTTCAGAGCCAGAAAATATTCTTCATCCCTATCAATAAGCCAACCATACCAACGCAACAGTAATGTATGGAAACACACAGAGGCACTTCAGAGCTTATACCTCCCATGCTGAAAGTTCTAAGAGAGATGCAGACAGTGAGCTCTGGTAGAGCCATCCTGGGACAGAGGCAGACTGGCTCCTCCTGTTGGCATTGGCACGATTTGCTTGGAAGAAGCTGCCCCACATCATTCCAAGACACCTCTAAGAGAAACCCACAGGTGGGTCTACAACGTACCAGGAGTCTGAGCTCATTGGGTTCACATCCTACTTCTCTGCTCGCACGGCTCAAGCGCAAAGCCCAAGCTAGGGATTGCCGAGAGGCAGGCTGGGATCAGGCTGGAGGCCTCTGGAAAAGGTGCCAACTGTGCCGTGCGGAGCGCCCGCATCTGAACAACTCCAGCTGCTGACTTCCAGGACTGGCGTAGCAGCCTGTCTGTCCCGTCCCGCTGCCTAAAGCCCTGTCTGCTCGGAGTCAGGAGAGAGCTGGTGCCCTGGCTGCCAGTGCAGTGGGGCTCCTTCCACTCATGAGTGGTGGTAAAGCAAACCCCGACAAAACGAGACGCTGGAAAGCTCGGTATGTCACGATCATGCTTCGCAGCTGAACAGCACTGCGGGGTCAAGTGGAGATCGTAGCTTGCCTTTCATCAGTCCTCTAAAATACTGTGCTTTACAGAGCCTGCTTGCTGTAGAATCTTAGAACTGGCCAGACAAGTGAAACGGTTAATAGCAGAAATTAATCTTACAGCCTGCTGAGTTCACACTGAACCATAGCTGAGTATGACAGCGAGCGAGCAGATGGGATGGGCAAGATGAATGGTTTGAGTAATTGGAAAAAACACAGATACAGAGAGGAAACTGAAGGAAGACAGAGGAGAAATCTCTGCCCAGTGAGGGACAAACTCCCAAAGCAGCTGGGATTTCATCCAGGGACTCGATGAGGGCCAGGAAAGGAGCATCTAAGGAAGCTGAACCGAGAAAAACGAAAAGAGGGGAAATAGTCCAAGGCTGCCCTGGCTGGTTCATTATGAAAAAGGGAAAATGCTTTGAGAAATAATTTGAGACAAAAGAACAGAAGGAAAGGAGGAGAAAAAAGAGAAAAAGACAAAGAAATTCAGGAAAGGGGAAGCAGACAGCAGGAGACAAACGCCAAAGTTCACTATTCCCAGGCTGCTAAATTAGATCTGACTTTCTTGGCACTCGACCATATTCTGTCACCAGCTATATAATCCGACTGATTAATAAATACAGTAGATATGTATTAACCAGTCCTGACTTCGTCCTTGTTTTTCCACCAGAGACTCCTGCTCTAGTGAGCACTGCTTTCCCCAGGATCCTGCTCGAACCTGTTAATTGTTGTCCCTCACACTCCGAGCTCAGTCATCCGCCTACCCCGTTCTCATTGTTGACATAACGCTGCCCCACTTGGGTTAAATTCTTAAACGGACCTTTCCTAGATTAACAGCATGCATTTTGTCCCAAGGGAGAAAAACTGTGCTAAGATACTGCCAGCTGTAATACAGCTTTCCACTTTGATGGGAGACTCTTGTCCTCTGGTTGCAGCTCTATGTTGGCTCCCGAGCCCTTTCCTGACACAAATGAGCAGAGGAAAGGACCTAGCTTAAAGAAACAAATGGGAAAACAACAGTTTTCACATCTCACAACGCCCATTCAGCCTTAACCACTTGCACATAGCAGTTGTCCTAACTTCTTCCTTCAAGCAGGAGGTGTGCGTCTGCTCCCTTCGGGCAGGGCTGCAGGACGGGAAACCATCCACGTGAGTACGGATGGGACATGCAGGATCTACCGCAGCCAGGTGTAACGAGCTGCGGCATCTATTTACCCAGCAGCTCCCAAACATCTTGTATTTACCATCAACACTCAAGGTTTCTCAAGGACCACCAGCTATGCCCAGTTCTCAGCGAGGGTGTCATGGAAAACGTGATTTAATATGATTACGGGGACCAGCTATGGGTCATTTACCTTGACTTGAGGACCACAGTCTAGGATCGCTGGCGTAGTACGCTGCAACTTTGCTGAATTATTTTCAAATTCTGTTGGTTACTCAGTTACTGAACACTTCAATTCATTTTATCCCAAGTCAGCTGAGTTTTGCTAAAAGCAGAAACTGTCACTGTTAGTCTAAATTATGATGAGTTCAGGGAGTCTGTCACTACAACAATGGATCCAGGCGTAGACACCGCAACTGGTTTTAATCTGCAGAGAGTTGAACTGGTTCCAACAACATTCTGCAAACACCATCAGACACAATCAGCTGAAAACTGCTTCAAGCTACTCAGCAGACATGTCATCCAGGTACCATGGAGTGTTACTTCCCATATGCTGCCAGAGCACAGAAACGGGGTTATGACAAGAGAAGAACAGATTCAGTCTGAAATCTCAGTGTAATTAATTCACTTGCCCTTAAGAATCATTATAAGAAATTTCCTCCCGCAAAGCCAGCAAACCCACCAGAACCAACAATCGTGTTGTTGCCAGTACAGCACATCAGAGCTCGCTAAGAAGTAATACAATCTCTGTCAGCTATCAAAAATCCCAGCTTTTGCACCATCAAGGGTCTAATTGGCAAACTGGCTGAAATTTGTATGCTGTGCTCAGGCAGCTGATACAGCAACTTAGGAAACATTTACAACATCTCCAATGGATGTACGTTTTCATTCCTAACCAGTCACAGAGAACTTTGCCCTAAATTGCTCCATTGCTTTCGTTACCGCTGCCACTGGCATTGCTGTTGCCTTTACGAAGCATTTTCCTCACTTGTGATGCTGCCGAACATTTCCATCCAAGCTCAGGGCCATATTCTGCCATCGCTTTCACGCTGCATATCTCAGGATTTAAAATTAGGCAAGTAACGAGTCTCTGCCATGTAATTTACATCTAATCAGTATTCTGCTCTTCTGCTGCTCATCTCAAAGGGTGTCTACGAGAAGGGTGGGCAGCGTGCGGAGAGGATGCGATTCATTCGAAAGAGAAAACTATCCCCTCGGAACGCACGGGCGTGTGCTTGGAGGAGCGGACCCACCAGCCGCGCTGTGCTGCGCACCCTCCCCGGGGGGCTGAACCAAGGCCACCCAGCAGCCCGTGTGCTGGGGAGGTCAGGCCCAGTTCCAGGAAAGGCACAAAGGAACCGCTCTCACCCACTACACCCAAACAAATCATCTCTTCTCCTCTACAACCCTCGCAGCTACACAGACACAGAAGGTGCGAGGGATTATTCCACCCAAATTACAAGGCAGTTATTGCTCCTTTCCCCTTCTCTCCGGGGCTTACACAAGCCAAGTGGCAGTGGAAGTGCTCCCGGCAGAGCTGCTTTTCCCACATAGGCACGCAAAGCCTCCGTTCATACCGGCGAGGCATCGCTGACACAAAAGAGACAAACTGCCATCAACACCTTCCTCCTCGGTGCCGCCCATGCAGTTTGGCACCTTTGTGCCTTGTTTAGGTGGTTATGAAGAGTTTGAGTATTTGTCACCACGAATTTCTTAACCGCTGGTACCGGAAGGCAGAGCGATGCCAAACACGGAAGGAACGGAGGCTGCGTCCATCTGAAACGGGGAAGAGGGGCAGGAGGGGGCAGAGGTCCAGGAGGAAGTGGTTGCTCTGAAAGGGATGGGAGAGAAGACAGAGCTGCAACAGAAGATGCTACAGGTAGGGGACAGAGACAAAGGATGAGAAAGGACACACTGAGTTATCCATCCAACCATACAGCCTTGCCCTCTTGGCAGTGTCACAGAATGACCAGACCGCTATATCCCAAATGGACTTTACACTTTGGATTCCATCTCTTGGCTCCGGTACAAGCAGAAGCCCGGTGCAGAAGAGCTGCTCCTTGTCTGTTCTTTACGTAATGGAGCCAGCTCACCTTCCCGCAGGGGGTTATTTTCTGTCTGTGGTTTAGCAGAGTTCAGAGCATCCTGGACATCAACACCTTTGCTGCCAATCCCTGTTCGTATCGGCACCCATCCTTTGCATTGCATGAAAAGCAAATGACAAACATACGGACAGCAAAGTATTTTTATTCCATCTTTATTGCCTGCTGACATGTTCAATATGCTCAAACTACATCTGAGGGACTGCATAGAGAGTGTTTCTTGTTTATATTTGATGTACGGCAGAACACTTTACATTGCACCAAATGTTGAGCAAACGGTAACATAACAGAGAAGCTGCAGTGGCAGCTGGAATTTCTGAGGTGGGCTACAGAGACTCTCTGAGGGCAAAAGTCTGCTCATCTTATTCAAATGAATTGCTTTTCTGGCCAAATTCTGCTCTTATATGCCAACTGACGAATACAGACCTAGTAACATGAGAAAACATGGAATAACTGAGCGCTTCAATTCCACAGCAAGCTGAAGAATATACAGCAACTGAAAACGAGAGAAGTAGCTGCAACCCCATCAAACGGCCAGAAGAAAGGCTCCTTGACAGAGACATGGGAATCCACAGCCAGAACTGCAAACCCTAGCACAGAGGAGTATCAATAGATTTATTTATGGGAGAAGCTATGTCAGGAAAGAGGACTTTCTGCTTTGAAGAATCCCTGTTTGCAGGGAAAAAGGGACTGAGAACTTGGTCTGATAGGAATGAATCCTCTCTCGGGGAAAAGCGATACTAGTTGCTCTGCAGGTGATAACAGACCACCATGGCACTTCTAACTTCATTTCACAATTATTATATTCATTTCACAATAAAGCAATCCCTCAATCCCTGCCCAAGAACAGGCCACTGCATAACATTCCCAAAAGGCCTTCCCTTCGTTATGGCCTCCTGCTGCTTCTTACCCCGGAGAAAGTTCGGGATTTACCTCCACTGGTCTAGCTCTGCAAGACGCCGGGCTCCCCTCCGCGGTGCTGAGCACCCTACCTCACCAGGGACCTGGCAGTCCCTGCACAGAGGGTGCATTTGCAGAAGAGATGCCTCTAGGAACGCATTACTGAGATCCTAAACCCATCACTTTTGCCTAAATCTAAATATGCTGCTTGGGCAGAGGTATCCCCTGCAGCTGCTCTAGTGTAACTCCCCGACTTCTCTGGCCATTTTGACCCCATCTGTAGTATAAAATGAGTACTTGAACTGTCGTTGCTGATCATACTTGGTTACTGGACTAGGTACTCAACTGGTCTGTCCAAATAGGCTCCTACTTACACAGGTCACACACATCATGGTCCCTTTTACCTCCCCAGGTTGGATTTTCTTATCTGCCACACAGTTTAGTGCTATGGAGGCTAGCAGTGATGGAAAAACAGGGAACGCGATAAAGCTTCCTACTGAGACAGTTGAACTTGGAGTAATGATTAACTCAAAGCAAACTAACCAGTTTACACCCGGTGACTTAGCACCAGAGAAGCCAGCTGGGTAAGGTGGAAGACAGACCACGTGGAGTCCTCCCCTTACCGGCACAGGAACACCAGCACACAAACATGCTCCATCCCTAATGTGGAACTGCTGCACCTGGTTTACACCACCTCTGTTCTTACACACAGGTGGAATCCTGGCCCCCCTGCAGCAAGCTTGCATTCTGCTTCATCGGCAGCAGGATTTCACCCTCTGACTTGATCACCTTGGATCTGTGCTGGCACAAGACCTCAGTTGGATCCCGTGTTATTCCATCTGTGTTGCTTTGATCACAGGACCCTGCACAAAGCTTCTGTTTCTCATACTTGGAGACACCTGGGGAACCCAGAGAGGAGCGAGGGACAGACAGACCCAAGAGGACTCTGTGACTTTATCAGGCTGGTGTGAAGATGGAGCTGCTCAAAGTGCAGCCCCACACTTCTGTGGCCAAGGCAGCGGTTTCAGGTGAGGGAAGATCTAACACACCAAGTACTCACCACGTCCTTTTAGGTCACAGAGGCCCTGTTTCCTGGAAATTCTTAACATGGTCAAATATACAGATCTACTGAAACTGAGAGAGCAGAAGGTGAAAAAAAGAAAAAAGGGAAAAAGGAAGAAAGACGCAGCAAAATGATGGATGAGAGCTGTGGGCAATGCAAGGCAGTAATGAACATGAAGGCAAGATAAACATCAAGAACCGGCTGACGTAGCCAGTGATGAAACTTCTGCAGATTTCAATGGACTTCAGAGTTCACCTGGAGGCTCAGAGAGCAGCGTTTGCACCCAAGTACCACACCAAGACAGACCGAGCTTCCTCCTCAACTCATTAATTCCTCACTCAGATGGGTTCTCCATTTCACCAAGCATTCACGCGCACCAGGAAACTCATGGCTAGAGGTCTGCCACTGGGATACCCTTGAGAACATGCACTCCTTTAGAAAAAAATCCATGACTTAACAGACACCCTGTGCAGAACCACAGCTCAACATCAATTACACAGCACTGCAAATGGCCAGAGGAAAGACTTCATTATCTCAGCTTGTGATTTAAGATCACTTCTAGTTAAATCTGTTACCTGGACCAGGACAAAGAATCGCTTCTTCCATCTCTTCCAAACATTTTTACCAATGGCCCATAAATATCTAGGAGGAAAAAATAGGTGAATTCAGTACACAAGTGACTGTATGTTGTTCAGTATGTTTTCTTTACACCTAGAAACTGAAATTAATGCACAAGCAGCAGTCATTACAAGACACTTAAACACATTCATGAATGCTGCTGAGCTTATTTTCTAGCCTGAACAAATAACCTGTAAAGAAAGTGACACAAAAAGCTCCCAGAGTCTTAAGGTTACACAGTATTAATTCTTTCTTCCTCTTTGTCTTTCACAGCTTGCTCAGAATTTAGAAGCCCTTTAATGCCAGTGAAAAGCTATGCCACGCTCGGATGGGTGACGAATACATTTGCAACGGAAGAATTAAGGGAGAGAAACTCCAAATGTTGCTTTAAGCCTTCACAAAACCATTTGGCTGAGGGGAGCTGTCAAACAGAGGGAGACCTACTGCATCAAAACCAGTACCTGGGATCCCAGTATCCACTAGACTGACTAAACCAGGGCACTTACTCAGTTTGAGATGAATTCCTAGAAATCGCTTGGCTACAGATATTCAAGCAGCCTGAATAATTTCTAAGGAGGAGTGAATTTGCTGTTGTCCACAAAGAAAGAATTAACTTTTAAAATTAACGTCAGCATTAGCGTTTCATTTCTGTGATGACGTGGCCACTGTGACACTGTAATACGAACACTGGAAAACCCAGTGGCACCACCAGACTAATAATAAGCACAAGGACATTATACAGTATTAGTATGTTTTATGTATGATTATAATTACTTCAGTTCTGGCTCAATAAATAGAAAAACAATTCCTTTTTGGTTATGCTAGTGGTTCCTTATGCCAGAAGAGATCCAGCACACTTTTGCTGAATGTTTAAGCCACAAAACTCCAAGTCACACAAACGTGGGCAGAGTCCTCAGCTAGTTCAAGAACAGGATAATAACTGTCCTTTTTCCTACCGCCGCTAATGTCAACAGAGCGACAATCTCAGTTCTGATAGCAAGCTACTGTGATAAACCACACAGCTTTAAGCAATATCTTGTAAATCAAACGTTAGTTGAAGACAGTCTGAGAAAAACCAGGACTGCTCAGCCCTGTTGCCATCGTTCCAGATCATTAGCCCTGCTCCAGGCAACTGCTATGTAAGTGTGCTGTGTATCTTGGTATAACTCATGACAATCATGCTGGAGTTTACTTCCAGCGGAAGGTGCACTGTGCTTTTTCTTCTGACAAGTCGATACAGGGAAACACAGAATAACCCAGGCAATTAAACCATTCTCAATAAGAGAGTTGGGCAGTTCACATGTTACTCCCTTACAGAAAAAAAAAAACCACCCTAGCAATTTCCTGAGGAATAGCGTTTAAAATTTAAACTGTTTGGCTGATACACATTAAAAAGACTATGCTAAGAATACAGGAAGTGCATTATAAATGACTAAACTAACGCCATTTTTATATTTATCTTTCTTTTGACCTCCTGTGAACTTGAAAAAAAGAGTTTCTCTTCCAGAATCTTAAAAAAGAGAATTTCTGAATGCACATTCAAAACAAATTGAGTTGAGATCGAGATAAGCATTTACCCAGAGTGCTTCATGTTTTGAGGCTTATCCATTCGCACGGCAAGCTTGATCTTCAGGTCTTGATCCGGGCAGTTTTTGGAAACAGTCATTTTGTGCCACTCTGATTGCTTTGGGCTATTGGGAGTAGGGTGGAGAACAACCTGCGAGTGTCAAAATCAACAACATTAAAGGGAAAAATTATTCACCAAGTGGGTTTTAATGGAGAGCCAAAATCACATCAGATGAGCTATTTTCCCCCTATTACCAGTTCCCAACATCTAAGGGAAGACCGTGGTAAATGAATTTGCAACGGCCCAGGTAAATCAGTGTAGATGTGACAGTGGACTGTTGTGATTAGCAAACCAGCAACAAGCTTCTGCTGAGGTTGCCCACTGCAATCCCCCACTTTCAGCCTTGTATAACTCAGTCAACCTCCAGCCTTCCTGACATTTCCCACGTGACATGTGCTGTTTTGAGGGCTCAGCAAGCTCTGCCTAAAATGGTTCACCTACTGCTGGTCAGGTTGCAGGGAAGCTGGTTTGATTTTTGCTCACTGTTAAGACTGGATGCAGTAGGCAGTGTTTCAGAGGCCGCTCTGTCTGACTGCACTACAACAGCAGATAAAATCTGCATCACACACGTCATGACAGCAGTGGCTGCCGGACTCTCTGCTCCATTTCATGCAGCAAGGAAACGACAGGGCGGTCTCCAGCCGGGGTAAAACAGTGCAACACCAGTGGCTGCAGTGGAGCTGAGCAGATGAACACCGATGGAAGCACTGGGCTCAGCAAAGAAACCAAAAGGCTCCTGTGCTGGTTTTGAGATGGCTTAACCCTCTCCTCTTTCCTATGCCCATTCCTCTTCTGATGCTTTCACTCTCAGAGGTGACTTTGCCTGGCACAAATTCATTCTTGAGTGATATGAATCTCCTTTAAATCCATTAACCTTTATGCAAGCAAATTATTTTAGAAGTGGCAGCATTCGCCCTCATTATTTGACGTGCTGCCATCACTCATCCCTTGCTCGCGCCTAGTCCGCACACCTGCCAAACTCAAGCCCAGATGATAATCTGGTATTCCTCTGCTCTTCAACTTCACTGCTAAGTCAACAACCTAGGGGCTGTTTTCCACCATAATATCCTTAAGGCCATTACCCTCTGATGAATGATTTTAAAAATGATCTTATTACCTCCTCCAAAGAACAGGTGAACATCAGTAGATTCTTGACTTCACCCTTACACATCAACATTATTTATCACTTCTTTTATTGGATTAGACTAATGCTTTCTCTGGCAGGAATCTAAAGCTGTTATTAGTTACATAAGTAACTGAGCAACACCAGTCCGTACTGCATCACTTTTGGAATAAAAAGCACATTTAAGCAAATCCTGAAGATGTGAAGTGAGTCCTCCATGCAGGGTGGTGTTGGAAACATGGATGGACCCAAACTCTTGAGCAGTATCCAAGGACCCCTGCCACAAGGCAGGTCATGCAAGCACATAGCCTTGCACTAAACCACATTTCTTAGCAGGGCAGCAGCCACTCAGGGGGTTTGGGATGCTCTCTACTTTGATTTCTACCTCTTTTTCATCAAAAGGCACATAAGCTTTGCTCAGTGTTGTTGTAATTCATGGCTCTTCCCCTCCTTGCTCTCAGTAGATGAAGTCTTGGCATGGCTGAAATCCGTGGGAGCCTTGCCACCAGCTTCAATAGGGCCAGGATGTATTCCCATGCCTTCAGCTGCCCATCCAGCAGTTTAGGGCTTGGGAGCATTTTCCAGCTCTCCCTTGGATAAAAGTGGCGAAATGAGGAGTGCCGGCCGGTTGCCAATTTAACACTCGCAATAGAAAGTGGGCATTGTACATGCCTGGCAGACCACAAAGCTGCTTCTCAAAGGGTGGCTGAGCACGGGTGTTTTTGTGTACAAAACCTGCTTCCCTCCTCTCTCCGTGCAGAAAGGTTTGTGCCCACTCCAACAGCTAAACCAGGGGCTTAACACGCTCCCGGTTTCATTATTGCATTAAAGGAGAAATCCCGATGCAGCCTGAGCAGACACGCGTCATCTCGGCCGCTCTGGGCACACCGAGCATCCCTTTGAAGTTCGGCCGACTGAAAGAGCTGGTGGCCACGGGCCAGGGGAAATCACCACCCGGCTCCCCGCGCTCGCCGCTGCTGGCCCACGTCCTTCGGCCTGCAGAAGCTCAGAGCCGAGGGACGGCTTCCCGCAGGACTGGGAATGAAAGCGTGTTTGGTGGGGCTGGCTCAGCAGCATTTCAGGGCAAGAGGGGTTGCCTGGGGGCCTGCTGTCCTTCTCAGAACAACATGCGTGGCTAATTGCTTCCCCAGACCAGCAAAGTCAGCACTGCTCATGGCTGCCAGTGGAAACAAGACTTAACAAAGCAAGCGGGTCTACACCGAGTGTAACTACTCAGGGGAAAAAGCCCTGAACGGCATCGCGGCCAGCTGGGCGGAAAGCTCTGCTCAGCACGCTGCAGGGATAAAGGCAGGAGTGCCGGGCTGCTTGGAGAAGGAGCTTTTCAAAATAATCCTGGAAATATTACGATGCTGTGCAGCAAAGCAAGGGCAGGGCTTCGGCCGGAGTACTGCAGCCTAGTGTCATGCCCTTTGTCATAAAAGGAGCACGACAGGGAGAAGGGAAGGATGGAGGTGTGGATGAGGAAAGTCCAAAGGTGCTGTGACTCTCTTTGAAGAGAAGACTGAGAGGAGAAAAGAAAGGGTAGCTTTGCTTTTCTCTCTCTCAAGTGTGAGAACAAAGGATGCTACAAATAGTTAAAATTAACATAAATTATATGAGACAAAAATCACATACCACCATAAAGATATAAATTAAATCAACACCTCACTAGGACCTTGGAATGTTTGGCACTTGCAGGAATAGGATGAACGCAAGACCACATTAATTAGGAAAAGCTTTGTTGCACGGACACAGACTCTCCTGTGTCAAGGCACAAGCAGCCACAGAATTAGCAAGAAACACCCCAACAGGTTAGTCCATAATTGGAAATACCGTACTTGGGCTTGACACAGGACCAGTGGCTTTCTTGGCCACAGGCAAGACAGAGCCCAGGCTGCTCCTGGAGATCACTCAGGCCATGCTGAGCCGTGACTTTGATGGGGTTTTCACCACGCTGATCTCACCCCCAAGGAGCTGAGGAAGGCATGACAGGGAGTCTGCTGCCACTTATGCCTGGGGCCAACACAAATTATACAGTTGCAGAAAATCCATGGAGACTAACTGAAGTGTCCCAAAGCCAGAGAAAAGTGTCATCCACAGATATTCTGAAGCTCTGGGCTGCAGCAGTCCAGCTCCCCCGATGCCAACAGTTCAGCCCCAATCCCCAGGGGAAGCCAGGATTTCAAGCCCTTTGCAGTGAGTGCAGTCAGTGCTTTCAAACGCTCAAACTGTGCACCGGCTGCTCAGCAGATAGGAGAGCAGCTTAACATTCTCCTGCCAAACTTAAATCCCCTCTTTTTGCTTCAGCATAATCCCCTTTTCTGCCTCAGGAATGTCCATTTCCGTAAGCAACTTCTAAGGCTTTCCGGACTGCCAATATCGCACACAAGATCCTCTGCCTTTGCTCCGTGCAGGCACAGCCAGCTGAAACGCTGCCACTGAAAACTCACAACAAAGACAGCATGCGCGATGCACTCCTTTCCAGCAGTGAGGGCTTGCTTCCCCCCACCCCCCGAAGCTTGGCAAAAAAGCAGAGCATGTTGTGCTCCAAAGATATTTCCGTACAGGAGAGATTTCTCCAGAAAAGCAGGGCCAGAAGGAAACATTATTAAACTCAAAATCTCCTTACCCTCCCAAGCTCTTTGTCCTCCAGAGCCAGCACCCCTGTGCTCTCCGTGAACAGCTTCACCTTCACCGCAGGGAGCGCGTGTGTCGTCGTGAAGTCTCCTTGGGTGCCCCAGCTGTGGAAAGAAGGACAGGGAGATGTTCAGCAGCGCTCCGCCTTGGGCCTGTGATGGTTAAACGAAAATGTCCTGTCAGGCACAAGCAGAAGTGGATGGGCTGTCTGAGTGACAAGGGCACTAATTTTCTTCGGAAAATGTGGGACAGCTGTTTGGAAAACCCACCATGGTTCCTTGGGGAACAAAATAGAGTATTTGGGAGCAGCACGAAACCACCTTCGAGAGAACTTTTCTGTTTAGAAAGAACAATGTCTCCTGCAGCAACAGCCTGTATAGTCACAACAGAAGTTGAGGATTGAGGACATCCGCACCTAAGACATCTCTAACCACTCAAGCCTCTGCTCTTCTCTTGGCTAATTAACCTCTCCTTTCCATGTTGACAGTGAGGTTTGCTTTTTCTGAATAAAACTCATCTTAATCTGGGTCCTCTCCTGAGCCCCAGCCCAGTACTCCAGCCCAGGTTTAAATTCAAGCCTGGACTAAGCCTAGTTTGCTGGAACTGCAGAGCAGGACACCAGCTCCTTGGGGATGGGAAGCAGTACCCGGGAAGTGGCCACCTCTCCAAATATGCAATGAAACAAGATCTCTGTCTACTACTGGTACTCCATGGGTCATCCCCCACCTCATGCCATGGGTTGGAAGGCAGCACTATGGAGCACAGTACTAGAACCCCCCCTCCAGGCAGGCATGTTTCTAGAAGATATCTCCAAGTTGCTGCAACCACAAGCCACCTGAGCATGCAGAGAATGTGAACTCCTTCCATGTGGGACGGGGTCCCAGCTACAGTCTGCCAACACCTACAGCTAAACTTGCCATTTTAAGACTGGCAAGGGAATATCATAGGAAAAATCATAGAATCTTGAGGTTGGAAAAAACCTGTAAGATCAAGTCCAAGCGTTAACCCAATACTGCTGACACCACCACTAAACCATGTCCCTGAGCACCTTTGTCCACATGTCTCAAAATCCCTCCTGGGATGGTGACTCCACCACCTCCTTTGGCAGCCCCTTCCAATCCTGACAGCCCTTTCCAGGAAGAAATTTTCCCTAATATCCAATCTAATCCTCCCCCAGCACAACTTGAGGCCATTTACTCTTCTCCCATCATTTGTCTCCTGGGAGAGGAGACAAACCCCCTCTCTCTGCACCCTCCTTTCTGTG